TCCTTTAATAATTTATTGAATTTATTATAAGGTCCTGATGGTGCCAATCTATTTATATATCATCTTCCACAAGAATACAGTGACGCAGACTTAGCTCAAGCTTTTGCACCTTATGGACCAATTATATCAGCTAAAGTATTTGTTGATAAAACAACAAATCGTAGTAAATGTTTTGGTAAATAGAAATATCTTTTGTTCTTTTCTTATTTTAAAAATGCATTGACTTATTCTTTAGGTTTTGTAAGTTATGATAATCCATCATCCGCTCAAGCAGCAATTAATCAAATGAATGGTTTTCAAATTGGTATGAAGCGGTTGAAAGTTCAATTAAAAAAACTTCGAAATAATATTAATAATACCAATACTGATAATATCATTAATTCAAATCCAAATCAGACTCAAGTAGCAGCCAATAATAGTCCAAATAATCATAATGGAAATTCATCAACAACGTCTAAAACAACTTCATATTAAAATAAGCCAAATATATTTAAGAAAAAAAAAGAAAATTAGATAGCACATTTTTCGAATACTCATGATCTATTTCTTTTGCTTAAAATTCTACTATTGAGACGACCTATTTATAATACATAGATAATCTTTTCCCACCCGAGTTCTTTTGTCACTTTATTATTTCTTTTTCTTTTTGTGTGTTTTGTCTTGTATTTTGCATTGTTCATTTATTTGTTTTTGTTAAATTATTCCTTGTCATCACATTGATTCAGAAAAGGTATATTGTCGTTCGTTTTTTGCTGTATAAGTTTCTTTTGTTTACACTTCTTCTTCTGCATGTTTGTATACGTGTGTTGTGGGTTTTCTATTTCCTATTTTTTGCAATGTTACCTTATAGATTTCTCTTGTTCGTCTTCTTATTGCTGTTATCAGTACTAAGCACCTACCTAACTATTACTTTTTTCATATTCATTTCTCTCTCCCAAGTTCTTTTTTCAAACAAATCTATACGTTTAACTGTCTTTATTCTTCGTTTTTTTGCTCTTTTTTTTTCAGTGTTCGTTTTTAACTGTGTGCGTGTGTATCTGTCTATTGTTTGTTCATCATTGTTGTTGTTGTTGTTGTTTTGCATTGAATCAACACAACTATTATTACAAACAAAACAAACAAAATAGAATTCTTTTTGCATCGATATATACATTTAGCTTATATCTCTGTTTCGTTCATCATTATTGAGTAGATGATGTATTTATAATACAAACAAACTAATTAAACTTTATTGTTTATTAGTTTTATGGGAAATAGAAAGATCAAGATAGTATTGTCAATAAATTTTTGTATTATGTGATTATATTGTTATATTGAATTATATGAATAAGAATGGAACGTTGTTTAATTGATTATTATTCTAATTACTATACTTTAGAATAGACTTTTAAAGGGAGCGTCGTTGAGATTAATGAGAGAAAGTTTAAAAGTGTAACTTGCCAATTGAATTGATGTTTTGCCTATAAGTGAGCCACAATGAGGCTAGTTGAAATCTATAACGGTTCGTCTCCATGTACTGTGGTCCACCAGTTATTAAAATTTTACTGAACTTTTTATTGCTAGTAAGGTTTTGGTAAAAAAAAGAAGTATGGAATTTCAAACTGAATAATGCCGATATGTAAGTATTTGAAGCATCAGAATGCTCTGAAAATTTTAGCTTATCTATGAGAGCTATCTATGGGCAAAGTTTCAAATTAAAAGTTCATGTTTCGATTTTTCATGTATATCTTGGTAGCAATAACAAATTCAGTAAAATTGTAATAGCTTGGCACATACAGTGCATTGGAACGAACCCTTCGATCTCTCTAGTAGTCGCATCGAAACTTACTTATAAGCAAAATATTAGTTCAATTGGCGAGTCGTATTTGGGGGATTTTCATTATGAGAAGAAAGTTGTTCTGGTTACTTCAGTGAATAACTTCTTGTATTAAGAGCGATATCGGATTATCCATATTCGAAATATGTCGGTATACATAATGACATTAATTTCATGATTGAATCGCACTACACTACAAGAAACTCTCCAATATGAACTATGAAATAACATACCTTTGTAGAGCTTTGCCAAGAAAACTTCTACTCATCCAGATTCGGTTTTTCGTCATCTTTTTGTAAGAATTAAATCTGATTTAAGTAACGTAATAATGATTTTTTGCGGCTTACAATGTTATTTTTACAGCTTGTCGAGCTCATGAATACATTTCAGTTATGATATGAACTTGAAATTTATATGATTCAAACAACTTTTCAACAGGACAGGCAATAAAAGAATGTATTTATGACTCGACTGCTGTTACTAGAAAAGACTTTTATTTATACAAATTGTTCACTAATCGAGTCAAAAGCTTTCAAGTATCATATGCATAATTACGTTCAGATTGATGTCCTTCCGATGAAAAATCTGAGTGTGGGTGTGAGTATATGCGAGTCTTCTCTTCAATCACACCAATACCAACACCCGCAATGATTAGAATTATATTAACAATGCAGTATCTATAGGGACCTCAAACATCTCATACAAGAACCTAGATGAAAAAAGCAAATGAAGTAGAAGAGTAATCCCTTTTACACGATGCACTAATTTCAACTCTGATCAACCCATATTCGTAGAATTGCTTAGCATTGAAAAAAGTTAGAACGGTGCTGGTGTGACTCTGAGTTTTGTGTCAATCTACACGATTCAGACGATATCCATATTCTCACTTGATTCATCAATTAGGTTTAGCAACACGATCAGCAGTAGTTATAATTAATTGAAATAAGAAAATTACTTTTTTAATTAGATCGAACTCACAAGCTCAAAATTAACCATGATACTTAATTGTAGGAAAGAAGTTTTTTCTTTTATTTCAATAGATTTGACAAGACTGGACGATGTTTTCCAAAAGTGAGAAATGTTCCACTGCAAGCAGAAACTCTTTATCCAACCAAAAAAGTCAAAGAGAAACGCTTTTAAAGAAACAACATTACTTATATCAGATCCTTTACACCAAAGAAAATCGAACATACATTAGGGAAAAATCATTCATTCATTTGTATCCTCATAAGCAGAGGAAAAAAGTGAAAAATGCTTCATCGAATCGTGATTGGTACATACATGTTTATATTTTTTCGTTCTATTTCTTCTCACTGATATTCTTCTACATGGTAAATGAAGTGCAATAGATATCGTTATATTCTTTTCCTCAATTTCTCCTTAATATGTTTGAGTTTATGTGGAGTGAACCATTTCTTCTAAAACGGGAACAATATCCTTATTGATTGATCCAATAGTCCTCTACTGAAATCTGAACAACATTGTCAATAAGTAAGCTTAAATTTTATTAATAACTAATTTTTTTTATTTCGGTTGAATTTAACAAAATGGTTAAGTGTAAGTATTAATTCAAGTGAGTAAATGGTTTACTTGCTTTTCTTCGAGAAGTGTTGAGTAGAGGGAAAAGGAAGTAATAAGGTAGTGTAGACAAAAGAAAGAGAACAAAGTTCAAGAAAACCAATCGTACAAGGTATTCGAAGATTCGGTAAAAGCTACGATGAATATTACAGAATCACACAAAATTGTATTGTACGATTTTATCAAAAACGTTGACTTCCACATTGGCATGTAAAATTGTAGAAAATCTTATCCGATACTCATACGATCTTGTATATTCATGGAAGATGTTTTTAATGGATTGTTGGACCTTGATCATAATTTTAACAGAACTGGACAATAATAAACGCTTGAAAATGCTCATGAAAGTACAACTTATAAAAAAATCCCTTTTCTACTTTTTATTAAATGGTCGCAAAATCCTTTGAGAAAAGCCTTTCAAAAGGAAATATTAAGGGATTCATGAATTTCAAATACTCGTTCTAAAAAGTTTATGAAAAGATTCATAATCCTTTATACAATTTGCTATGCGGCACACTTTCATAAACCCATCGTAAGGGTTCATGAGCATAGTAAAACTCTCCAGATACTCTTCGAAACTCTTTCTAAAAGGGCAGATAAAACTAAAATACCTGAGTATCAAATTTCGAAAGGAGATTTAGAAGCGTTTATGACCATCATCAATGGTCTAAAAGGTTTGTGAAGAGGTAGATGAGGAAGATGATTGATGAAGTCAATCATCTCAAGCGTTTATGAAAAGATACACGGAACGTTCTAACAACAACATCAGTCACATTGAACAGTTGGTGAAGGACTGAATGGAGGAGTTTGCCGCCATTGCTAGTGATCCCAAACACTTATGAAAGATATATGCAAGAATTATTGATAATTTCTCACCGTTGCTTGAAGATATATGACTGGGGTATAGAGTATAGGGTGTAGGGTGTAAGCAGATTTTAGCGTCAATAAAATGAGAAATATTATACATATCCAAAACTATAGACACACCTAAATCGAGACCAGCACTCAGAATTCAATTTATTTCAAAAAGCACAAGCGTATAAAAAATATGTTTATGGTCAACTGGCATTAATTAAATCAGGATCTATACTTGTTTCTTGATCACGTTGATCCATTGAAACATTGTTAATGACAGAATCTATTTTGGTTTGATTTCTAAATAAAGCATAAAATTGAAACAAAGTAGTTACTTTTGTCATCTTTATAAGAAAATCGAAGCCAAATGATATGAATCAAGCGTTAATCTTTTATCCTATTCTTTTCCAGAATGTACTAATTTTATTACTGTTGTGAATGTTTGATTATGAATAAAGAGAATATTTTAATAAAATATTTCATCAAATTTATTCAACAATATTTTCGGAAGTTTAATAGGTTAGTCAATATTTGTATAAGTTAACTTTCATCATTAGCAAATGATATCAACTATCTTTATTCCCATGTCGAAGCGAACGGGTAAGAAATATGTTCGCTGTGGAGAGAACTTATTTGAAACAATTCGAATGATCAAACATCATGCAGAAATATTCCATTAACTTCGACACAGAATATTCATTTAATTAACAATGATATAGATGTCTTTTTCATATAAATCAAATGATTGATCTTACTTTTCTGTCGTTTCTCTTTTTGTTTTCAAATTTTGAATCGCTTTTTCGACTGCAGATGGAGTCTCAAGAGGAGAGTCTTGATGAGACGGGTCACTATATCGTTGTCGATCGATACCTTCTTGTACTTGACTGGATACATCAGGAATTATCAATTGAACCAAATAAACAATTAGATAGATAACATTTTCAAAAATGATCATAAAAGCTAGACGAGCAGCAATAATATGCCAATAAAGTGATGTGTAATCATAATTCGGACCGGTTGATTCTCGAAAATCACGATAACTTAAATGAAAACAAAATCTTTATCGATATAAATCGAACAAAATTGGAATATAGCTCTCACCGACAATAAGTCAAATTTGATGGAATATGCTGATTCATGGTCCCTGTTTTATTGTAATCACTGATCGGAAACGAAGAAAGTGTCCAATTAACATAACCATCAAGACTTGTTCCTTTTCCTTCTATTATCTGGTAAGCCAATTTCGGTATAAATTCGGATGTCCATGCAATGACCGCTGCCTGAAAAATAATAATCATTTAAATGGTCAATTCGAATTGATACTGACATTAGTCAAAACAGCCAAATAAGAGATGCCGGAAAGAATATCAGTCCAAATACCAATGTTTGCTGCTTTGTGTAGGACAGGACGACGGTATCGTGTTAAAATTTTCCATGCATCAAACCGAAGTTCTAATATATTATTTAATAATGCAAACAATGGTGCTAATCTATTTAACGCAAAAAAAAGATTAGACAGAGAGCATATAATCTACTGACGGAAATGCAGCAACAAATAATGTGGCAAAACCAAATTGAATAGCTATGAATTAAAGAGAATGATATGCCAATAGTGACAAGATTTTATTTTGTTTCTTTTTACTCATTTCAAGATATTCCGGTAAAAGCATTTGCCAGTCAAATTCATCTAATTGATTGTCTATTTCCCATTGTTTCTTGTTTTCATCGGTATTTTTGCATAGATTTCTACTACGTAGAAATGGTAAACCATATTCAATCACAGCGTTGACGATTTGTTTGCCAAGCATAACTAGCAGAGAGAAAGTCATTTTATTTCTTATATACATACATGTTATACTTACTAATGAGTAGTTGAATAGATAGTTCAACCATGCAACCAGCAGGATCACACTAAATGCATTTACATGTATTATCAATCTTTAATTTCATCCATTCTCGAAAACAATAACTATAGATTGAAATCATAGATGCATAAGTTTCACTAAACATATGCGCACGTTCTCGTCAACATGAAACGATATTGAGTACTATTTTCGTGATGATATAGAATACACGTCGTTATATAGATTCGTGTAGAAATCATAACACTAATAAGACCAATCAGATAGTAAATCCAATTCGTCCGTGAAAGACTACTAATATATCATTTTTGAGGTTAGATTAAGATCTTCCTCAAAATCGATTTTAGTTAAGGCTCATGAAAAATTGTATGTGATCTTCAGCATATGTTTGTATGGTAATGGAGAGCTTCAGTGAAAAATTCATCCTTAGAGCATAATGTTTACGAAAGAGATTCGTCAAACAAAGGTCCAGCATAGCCTATTTAACAATCCAAAATTCTCTGTGGTCCTTCATTCTATATATTGACTCTCTATATGTTTGTTCGAAAGAATATATCAGACTGCAAGATTTGCTAGTTGTTTTTTTTACAAGCTGTTGGTTTTTAGCGAAAAAATAAGGATTGTAGATCTCATACCTAAAGAAATTGTCTAAATGTGGAAAATATTTTCTCCATTTTTAAGAGGCATTGAGAGTTTTTTGAAGTATTAAATCTGTGATTCTTTTTCTTCGCTAAATAAAATAAAAACCTTTAAAAAAACTCTGCCAGGTCCTGGTGTTTGACATTGTTTCTCAAACAAAAAGAAACAACAAACCAAAACAACAGAGAATCAATGCATAGAATGATGGACCAGACAAAATTTTGGGTTGTTAAATAGGCAATGGTGGACCTTTGTGTGACGACATAAAGAAATGTCATGCACTGATGAAACCACAGTACTTAAAAGATTAAGTAGAGGTTATTGTTTTTGAATTTTTGAAAACTATCGATTTTGTAAGCCTGATATATTGGAGACGGAGGTATGAAAAGAAATATTCTGTTTTCGCAATAAATGACTCATGAAGTTTAGAATTTTATATATTGTTTAGTTTCGGTAATCGATTTCAAACTAAGCACTCGAATGGAGAGATGCAAGAGATTGACGTAAACAATTTGATAAATAAACCTGCTCATTGAAATCATTCGTTCTTCGTGCACCGTACGTAGATGGATAACCATTTGTTCTTAAAAGAAAATTATTATTATTTGCGACGATTTGTTAATAATCTTACTCACCGTCCTTTGAAAAAGGCAACATAAAATAATGATGAATAAAAATTTACAAATTCAAATACATAAACTTTGACTGAAAATGCTGCTTCGTATTCTGATTGGTATTTGTGTAATTCTATATTTTTCATGTAGACATAAGACAAACAAAACGAGACCTGAATATTCACTCCTTACCATAATCGGTTATTTTTCGCGCAATAAAATAATACAATGGTGACAATATAAGAGAACAAATTAGATTCATAATGGCACTTGTTACAGTAATTACAATTGATGAATATGAACTGGCTGATGTGTTTATTAAAACATATGATATCTGAATACGATAGACAATAATAGAGAATATCGTCAGACAGACGATAATGACCTAGATAGTTGCATTTATATTAGTTATTGATCAAATAATTGTTCAATTTACCATGAATAAAATGACACCAATTGACAACAAAATTCTTGGAATTTTTTGTCCAATGCTGATGTATGATTCTTTTCTCTTTAAAATAAAGATTTGAATACAACAATTTCTATTATATAAATGCACTAACTCCAGTTCGTCTATTCAGTCGTGTTGATCGAACTTGTCTTTCAAAATCAGGTCGTATCGGTTCATTACATTCATGAAAATCGATTGAATCCTAATAAAAAAAAATCATCTATAGAAAAACGTTTACCATTATGAAAGATATATACCCATTTATATTGCAATTCAGATTGACCTCTCTTCCACCATTCTACAAAACCTCTATTTTAAATAAAGACAGTGGCAAAAAGTCGTTCAAATATTGACTTGGTTTGTTTACCTTGCCCAGATAGACATCAATATAGCAAATATGACAGTGGCGATATTATCAAATACATATGAAATCTTAAATTAAGATCTTAAAGCAATTTAGAAACCGATACTTCGACTTACTTGTGCATAGGCACAACTTTCAGTAAGCTTCCAAAATGAACATGTTTTGTCACAAAGAGGACACATGTCTATGCTTTGTCCAAACGATCCACAAATTTCGGATCTAAGCAAAAATTTTAAACAGTAATAATAATTAAACAGTTATATTAAATAAAACTATAGCAGAACACGAATAGAGTAATAAAAGTCTATTCTATTCTTGCGTGACATCTTCTCATATTTCCCAGTACTCTCTTTGACTATCATGTGTTCTTTCTTTACTTGAACTATAACAAATATATATAAAAGACTCCACTGAAACATTTTTGATAATCTTACAACAAGTTTTCTACTCACTCTTTTAGCAAAAAGCTAGAAATCCACGTAAACATAATACTAAGACAAATTCAGAAACCTGAGATGCTCTTCTATGAACAAGCCCAAGGAAACAAGATACTATCTATCGGTGTACTTCTTTTATTTGAATATCTGGTATCGCAGTTCAAGTAAGTCAAGGAGAAAATTTTTCTTATCTTCTGTTTATTGAATTCAAAACTTATATTCCAAAAATGCTATTTCTTCTTGCTTACGTTGCATATCTTTCGTTTTTCTTCTACAACAAGGAAAACGAGAGCCAATAAATACAACAGAATATTTCAAAAGATTCTGTACTCTATAATCTGTTGTACAAAAGGGAAAATTGGCCAAGAACATTATACTCATTATTACATTTTAAAATTGTTTTACAAAGTTAAAAACAATTTCCGCGTATATATGAAATCATGAACATCTAGATCGTTTTTTAACCACTTTCAAAGGCGTCATTTACTTATTTAAACTCTTCAGATCCAGGACAAATTACAGAAACTGCTGTATTTTGAGATATTAATAGCTCTATGAAATTTTAATATGCCAATAAATCTTCTGGAGACTACTAATCTGTGTTTTCTGAAAAACAAATGCTGCAAATTTCATGAGTTTTCTCTCTAGAAAAATTGACATATAAAGGATTCAATTTTAGGTGAGACAAAAGGAAACATAATTCTGATAGTTAGAATGAATTATTGGATGGGAAAAGTGTTGTCTCCATTGCTCCTGAAAAGTTTAAAGACCATTGCCGGTGTATATAAACACTTGACGATAGGATATTTGATTATTATTCAAATACATGATCTGTCTAATACAGAAAAATGTCTTCATAGAAATTGTTTAAGCTGAAAAGAGAAAAACAGTCCTCAAAACCGAATCAGTACGAGCTGAGTTACAGTCACGCATAAAACAAAAGAAGAAAGCTTACGTTGGCATGTTCGAAGTGACACTAGCAGCACCATAGATAAAGACAATCAGACCAACAATTGCAGGTAGTATGAGTGCAATCGTGTAAGAGCCCATTGCAGCAAAATAGAATGCAACTTTTTCACCCATATACGAACGAATCAAATCGAATGGTTGAGGTTTCAAACATTTGAATATAGTGGCCCATTCTGTCCTCAGTTTCTGTACTCACATATTGAAATAAAATATTAAACAGCGATTATTTTTCAAACTTACAAATCGATCATTGAGCTTGTCATCATCTATTTTCTTATTGAAAGAAGATAGCAATAGAAAACAACAATATATCGGTTTCAATCAAATCAGTCAGAGTTTTACTTCGTGTAAAGGGAAACATGAATCAAATATGCCATCAGATATTAATTGACTAATCCCGAAATATTTATATATCTTGGGTAAGTTTTGCGGTGCTTGTGGTTGTCCTTGTGGTACCAATGAATCTATTTATCCTTTTTCTTATGAGATATCAATTAAAAATTTCATTTTTACTCGTACCAATTTCGCCCTTGATCCGTAACAACAGCTCATAGGTGAGCCAATGTCGTTCGCTTATCGTAAAATAGGACTTATCAGCAATATCCCATAACTAAAGAAACAAAGAATAAAACTGTATTCCGGCAGAATACAAGAATCGGTAGTTTCTGATACATAAAAGTGTTATATTAAGAAAGATACTTAATCTGAAAGGATATTCAGTGGCAAGTAGACAACAGATATTTCACGAGACATACGTAGTACTATCAACTAACAGAAATAGCTGCATTACAAAAACTAATTCATTCATTTAACATGAAAAGTCAGTATAGTGAGTCTTCCATCTATGTTTGACTAGTACTATGTGATATTCTTAGTAAATACTGTTCAAATTTTTCGTTTTCTTCTGGAATCAAGCTATTTTTCACAAAATAGAACGATCCTATGTCCATTTCAATACCTATTTCTAATGATTTTTTTACACCAATCAAGTCAATCTCTTTCTTTCGACAAAGGCTCAGCATTATGCGTGTATCTACAAATCAGAAATCTATAAAAAGCTATAGAGGCAGCATATAGTCACTCTTCCAAAGAATTAACTTGCGCATCTGGTACAACTCAAGTCGTGGCTTTATCAATTGTGTGAACTGAAACACGTGTAAAAAAATTTTGACTTCAACAAGTTCTTCGAGATTCTATCCATATGACTCTTGAAAGATGTGTCCGTAAAAGAAAAAAATGCAAAATTCTCACGTTTTCACTATTCAAATAGTTTGAATCCGTTTTAGATTGATTTCGTTTGTCGAAAAATTTTATAAATTGCTCAATCGTTGATAATGAATAGACAGCCGTACGATAAGAAGGTTGGTCTATTGTAGACGAGCGCCCAAAATTAAATATGCGTTGTAACCAGCAAACAAAACGGTTCCCATTTTCAGATTTCTCTCGTTGAGACATATCCTAAAACGATGTTCAATGATCATTTGCAAGGCATATCATTCAATTACTGTTGTTCGAGTGGATGAATCCCCTTCTGTATTGTCATCTATACCATCTTTTGTATCGTCTTTTGTATCTTCTATTTTCTTAATAAAGAATAGGAAAAAAATTCATCAATTAAACAAGGAGATTTCGATCAGCATGTTTCGCTTTTTTCTTCTTACTTCAATCGGTAATTTCATTCGTATAGCTTCTGCCGAAAATAAAAGAACATGGAATGGAGCACGAATTATGATATAGCAGGTTTTCTTCGATATTTGCTTGCGACAAAAAAAGTTGGATATTGGATATTTATTGATTATTTCTTTCACTACATGTCTACGAACATCCAATTGATATTTGCTTTTGAGATCTTCTTCAACTTTTCTTCGTATTATTTGTTTCACCAATGGAGTCAGAAAATAGCCACCAGAAAACTGCTGAACTAAACGTTGAATTACAGACCACTGCTTACCATCTTGCTGTGGTTCTATAGGCGATTGCTGTGTGTAGACCAGAATGCAATCGAATGTTGATGTATCGTTTTCAATACCAGGTGAAGACGAGACATCGTCGAGATGGTCAGGTGTAAGATGTTCATTGTCGACAGGCGGTACTAGTGTTTTAACAATGAGCGTAAAGTTGAAATTCAGCGCTACAAACCCGACAGATAGTATTGGAGTGCGTTATTTTGTTGCTTACCGAAGTTCAGAAATATCAATGTCTTTCAACTAAGCGTCTTCTGATTGGAAGTTTATACCAATGAACAAAGTACTCAAGTGTGAATAATTGAAAGCAAAGATTTAAGAAAAATACAGATGTCTTCACGAGAAAAACTGAAACTGGCAACTTGCTGAACACTTTCCTAGCCGGTCTATATATTCTATGGAATGGTTATGTACGTGCGGTGAATCACCCCAATAATAATATGGTAGCAAAAAAGAAATATAATTGAATGCTTTTTTTTTAAAGATAGTTCTAGTATAATTGACGGTCTCATATTTCATGAGTAGAGAAGACTCTTCCGACAGTCGCTTTAGTAACGATTGAATCATTCGTAAATGAATAGAACGCTCTTATTTTTCAAATGCATAGATACTATATTTAAGATCTATCAAACACTGAAGAGTATATAAAACAAAAAATATTGTGTTTCAGATAGTGCTATTTTTTTAAAGGCACTAGATTTTCATGTGTTTTATAGTGTGAATCTCTCACCTGTCGATGA